AAGACAAAAAAAATGGTGTAGGGAGGGCATACCATTGTAAAACAGGGTGCAGGCCCAAGCCCTAATGGAGAGCTGCAGATTGCACATTCGTGCCCAGGCCTGACAGCCGCATATCACAGAGAATTCAGGCCAAAAGGACATTCTGCTCTACCCACATCTTTTAGGGGCATTTTGCCATTTATCTCAACTTTGAGGGGTGTAATGCAAATTTCCCCTGAACCCCTGTTTTTTCTTTTTTTTCCTGACTCTTTCTGATTTTTTTTTTGTGTTTTCTTTTTTGGCACGTGGGAAAATAGCGGGCGTCCCGTGGGCCTCCGACCTTTTCTGAGGCTGAAAAGAAACGACGGCCACCGATCAGATTTATCAATGGCAGCCGTCGTCGGGCCCGGCCTCCGAAACTTTAGGAGTTTGGGAAAATGTCCACTTTTCCCTATTTTCCCACGCGCCGAAGGTACTAGTGGTTTAAGTCCATGGTGTTGTAGAGGCCAGTCACTGAGCACAGAGTGATGACTCGTTCTGATTCTGGGGGGCGACAGTCCGGTTACTTAGTACCGCCAAGCAGCAAAAAATATTTTCAAGCATTGGGCTAATGACCTTGGTACCCCAGTTTAGCCGGGAGATTCTGAGTGGTCCCCAGTCGCTACAAGTCCAGGTCATCACCCTCCAGGGCCAAGTTGATGGGCTGTTTTCGTTCCTTTTTTATCTGGCCTTTGGGTGACGGAACAGGCCGAACGTTTGTGTCCGTTTCGCGTTTGGTGAGCGGCGCCGCGAGGCCCTACATACGTAGATTTTTAAGGTTTTCATCTCGATACCGTCAGTGCGCGGGGGCCCAGATAATTCAGAAAAGACTCAGGCCTGTGTTTCAACAGTTCATGGGTGTGCCCACTGAGGAAGGTCATTGGCTTTTTAGACCCGCATTTGTTTTGTCGGGGCAGCGCCGTCGGAATTTCCGAGGTGTCGCGTCGCTCGGAAAGGAATAGGCATGCGGAACAGAGTCGAGCTCCGCGAGAACGGGCGTGCAGAAGTGGTCTCTCTCTCTCTCTCTCTCTCTCTCTCTCTCTCTCTCTCTCTCTCTCTCTCTTTCCCCCCCCCTCCTCCCTCGACCCTCCCCCCCTTCCCTCCCTCTTCTCTGTGCCTGCTGTGTGGAGAGTTCCATTCACACTGGTCCAAAAAGGAAATAGGTGAGTACGCTCCCTCCCTCCCTCCCTCCCTCCCTCCCTCCCTCCCTCCTCTCTCTGTGTCCCTCCTTCCCTCCGTTTCTACTCTCTCTCTCTCTCCCCTCGCCCCTTCCTTCTTTCCTTCCTCCCTTCCTTCCCTTCCTCCCTTCCGCTTTCTCTCCCTCCCTCTCCCTCCTTCCCTCCCTACCTCCCTCCATCTCTTAGCGGTGTTGTGCGTGAAGAGGCGGAGTGTTCTGTTTATTTTCGGCTCGAAAATCAAATGGGCGTGTTCGCCCGGCGTGCACCCTCTCTCTCTCTCTCCCTGCCCCCCAACATACCTCCTTCCCTTCTTCCCCTATCGACATTTAGGGCTGCAACTCCATTTTTTACGGGGCTTCCATGTTGCAAGTGGGACTGGATTTGTGCACGGCCGCTATCGCGAGGAGTAGGCGGGGATCATGCCGTGAATGGGGAGAGGCAGGGGGGGGAAGGAACACTAGAGGGAGGTCAATTGCGTGCTCAGGCAGGTAGGAGAAGGTCCCCATCGCAATCGTGAGAGGCTGGAGTAGCAGGAGAAGGACGAAGAGGGAGGGTGAGGATGCGGGATGAGGAGGATGAGGAGGATCAGGAGGATCGGATGGTCGGTATTAGTCTGTCAGGATGGGATGCGACAACATACGAAGCAGAAGGAGAGCCATCGGGATAAGGTCAAGCATGCAAAGCGAAGTTTGCCGGCGTTAAGGAGGCTGTGGAGGAGGAAGACGGCGAGGGGGGTTCTAAAGTAAATGGGAGGAGGATGTAGGTGGAACCCAATTTGCGAAGAAGGGGATGGGCAGCGTGGATTGGGAGGGNGTGGATTGGGAGGGGGGGGGGGGAATTAGGATCTGGGATCGAGTGGAGGAGAAGGTCGAAATCCGAGCCAATCAGGCGTGAGTATCTAGGAACCGATGAAGTGCAGGAGAAGGAAGGACAAGGGGGACAGGTTGTAAGGAATGCAGGTCGTGTAGGGGGGGGATGCGGACAAGGTGGGGAGGAAGACGATCTCAGACCGGAGGGCGGGCGGGGGGAACAGGTTTGTAAGGAAAGGAGAGACCAGGATAATGACGAAGGGCCTGAATGACGAGAGGCATAGGGTAAACACGGATTTGCTGGTGATGGAGAGAGAGCAATGAAGAGAGAAAGAGCGACAGACAGGGAAAGAGAGGAAAGGACATAGCAGATCCGCAAGGGCCACATCGAGTATTGGAGAGCAGGAGCTCGAAAGGGGATCCCGAAGGAGGAGAGAAAGGCGTGGAGAAAGACGGGAAAAGTTGGGCGAGAGACACAAATGGGAGGGGGGATGGAGGGCGCAAGTTGAAGGGTGGAATCGGATAGGCGGAAGGGAGACAATGGAGAAGGAAGAAAGGGAAAAAGTCGAGCGGGTAGTGAAAAAAGAGAGAGAGAGAGAGAGAGAGAGAGAGAGAGAGAGAGAGAGAGAGAGAGAGAGAGAGAGAGAGAGAGAGAGAGAGAGAGGGCATTTGACGATTACTTACTGACCGGATGCACCCCCTAGAGCGAGAGAGAAAGGGGTGGAGAGAGGGGTGAATAGCAAGAGAGAGGGGGAAGAGGGAGGGAGGAAGAGATGGCGAGAGGGACAGGGAAGAGAGAGATCTCAGCGGGATAGTAATCTTCGGGCCACTATCTTCTCTTCACGGAGTCCCCCCCTAGATGAAAAAAGAAGGGATGACGAAATGCTGCCTGTGTGATATTACAGTACTACACCCTTAATTGAGCGCGTCTTCTCTCTCATGTACCTTTTCTTCTTTTTTCCTCTCCTTGTGTGCTGCTATGTTGTCCTCTCTTCACTTCTGGAGCTTCTCTAGTCCTTCTGTTTTCCTCTTATATAGTTTTTTGTTCCTTCGATGATTTCAATCTCCACATTTTCCTGGCGGGAGCGTTGCCAGACGTATCTCATGTGAGTCCGTTCCGCATTTTATTTCGGCGCAGAGTTTTGTGTCCATTTCTCCTCTCTCATGTGTCGCGCGGGAGGTCGTTGGTGAAGCCAACACCAAGTGGTGCTCATCAGCTCTGCGCCGAAATGAAATGCAGAATTGATTGTGGTCGCTTCTGGATGATCTTAATCAAGTCACGATGGTCGTCGATTCTACAAGCTATCCTCTCAGTAGAGCCTCCTTCTACTCGTAAACATGATGAATGGATTGATTGATTCAAATCGGTGAATGGATTGATTGATTCAAATCGGTGAATGGATTGATTGATTCAATTCGGTGAATGGATTGATTACAGTCGGCGAGTGTTGCTTCTGAAGCAAATGAAGAAGGCTGAGGCATTGAAACAGGAAAAGAAAACGAAGAAAACTCAGTGAACAACGACCGGTCGTTGGTTTCATCGTTCGATTTCCCCCTACTGTTTCTTCATTCGTACACACAACGCCCATCGACATGCCACGCATCATGAGATTTTGATATCACATTGCATGTCTCCCCTCTCTCTTTCTCTCGCGCGTACACACGACAGCCATCTATTCCAGACAACAGACGTCGTGCAAACGATCGCTCCAGCAGTGTTCTTCCTTCGCTCTTTGACTCTGTCACTGCATGTCTTCTCTCTCTCAGCAGTATTCTTCTTTCCCTCTTTCTTTCTGTCATTGCATGGCTCCTCTCTCTCGCAATGTGCAGGGAGAGAGGGGTGTTTCTTGCTCGCCTTCGCTCTTAAGAGACGAACTCGACGAGCCGAGGGAGAGTCGGTCTCGCCAGCAGGTGTTCCTTTTTCTCGGTCATTTTAACAGAATGCGGGATATCCAATGACACCTTCGGAAAAGGAACAAAAGGAACAAAAGGAACAAAAGGAACAAAAGATTCAACCCCTGACATAAAAAAAAGGTTAGATTCATTGACAAGAAAAAAGAGAGAGATTCAACCCCTGACATAAAAAAAAGGTTAGATTCATTGACAAGAAAAAAGAGAGAGATTCAACCCCTGATATAAAAAAAAGGTTAGATTCATTGACAAGAAAAAAGAGAGAGATTCAACCCCTGACATAAAAAAACGGTTAGATTCATTGACAAGAAAAAAGAGAGATTCAACCCCTGACATAAAAAAAGGGTTAGATTCATTGACAAGAAAAAAGAGAGAGATCAAAGAACAAGATTGAACCCTCGGGTGTGGGGAGGAAGGGGGTGTGGGGAGGAAGGGCGTGTGGTGGAGAGAGACACAGAGAGAGAGAGAGAGAGAGAGAGAGAGAGAGAGAGAGAGAGAGAGAGAGAGAGAGAGAGAGAGAGAGAGAGAGTGAGTTTGGGGGAGGGGAGGAGTTAATGAGGTTCCTCTGTAGTGGAACTCCTTTTGGTTTCGCTGTGACCCTGGGCCTTGCTGTGTGAAAACGTTCGCTGTTCTGAGGGCATAGATCGAGAAATGGTCCCAAAAAAAAAAAAAAAAAAAAAAGAGAACGAAAATGGAAGCCTGAGCTTTTCGGTTTGCTGTAGGGGTTGGTGATCCTTCCGGTACAAGCGGCACACACGTACTGTAGCGGCGGAGGGTTTGGGCTTTAGAATCCACATTGCAGTCTAGAGTAGATTGTGTTTATATAGCATTGCCAGATCACCTTGTTTTCGTCTTCTGTCCCTTTTCCCGTGTCTTGGCCGCTGCTTCTTTTTTTTTGGTTTCCTCTTGCCTTTCGCATCGTGTCAGATTGCATCTGTGCTGTGTCAGGATGTGTTCTTCCAGATGGTTGACAGCTTCTCTCTTTCTCTGTGTTCATGAACGAACGGGCTGTTTGGTTGGTTGATTTCAAGCCACGGGCAGCACTAATATGTGCTGCTCTGTCTGCGGGCGAGGGGAGCTGGAGCCTTGCACCATTGTTAAGTGAGGAGATCCGTCTGTTGTTGCTTGCCATCCCGCTCTGTTGAGATTCATTACAGTCCCATAAATCTGCTTGCCTCTGTGCCATCTGCTTCCGGGCAGGATGGACCCAAAGCCACTCAGCTCAAGGGGCAGATGGAAGAAAGCCTCGGAGGATAGGGAGCAGGAGAAAGCAGAAGAGGAAGAGGCAAAGAGGTTGGAAAGTTTGTTGTTTGCATCAGGCAAGGGTGCAGATGAGTTTCGCAAGGAGAAACTGGATATTGCACCCTTGCCGTCGTCCGAAGTCGAGGACTGCGATGATGGAGAGAGAGAGGAAGAAGGTGAGGAGGTGCAATTCTTGGGGAAGAAAAGGCGGCCTGCTTGGGATGATCCAGATGAGGAAGGGGTTGTAGTTGGTTTAAAGGTTGGCAGGAGAATGAGATCCATGAGGGTCGATCACACGGAAGTAGAAGTGAGTGGTGCTGAATATGCGAAACGTCTCCGGAAAGAGTATGCAAAGCTCAATCCCCGCACTGAATGGGCAAAACTGCCCTCAGCGAAAAGTGATCGGCCACCCGTGGATGCTGGTGATGGGCTGCGATTGCGAAATTCCAAAGACTCCGATGAGTCTGACGAAGAAGGGTTGGGAGAAGTAGACGCTGCTGAGGATGCAGATGATCTTTTGAGGATTCGGCAGCCTTTGATTGCTAAGAAATCCTCTAGGCTGATCCAAGGGGTCCTGGAGATTATCCCTCTGAATGATGCCAATCGCGATGATCCGTGTCAGGGCAGGACCAAGTCAGTGGCTTTCCATCCCAATGGTCAGCTGTTTATGACAGGTGGCACTGACAAATCATTGAAGTTCTTTCAACTGGACGGCAAGCACAACCCGAAAGTTCAGGGAATCTTCCTTGACAACATGCCTGTTCAGAAGGCAGCGTTCTCTGGGGATGGCCTCAAGGTGTTTGCATCAGGTGGCAGGAAGTTTTACTATGTCTATGACATCCTTGGCGGCAGAGTGGAACGAGTTGACAATATAATGGGGAGAGAGGAGAGGAGTCTTGAAACGTTTGAGCTGTCCCCGGACAATAATGTGGCTGCCTTTCTTGGCAAGGATGGGTATGTGATGCTGGTGTCCCAGAGGACAAAGCAGTGGATAGCCAATCTGAAGATGAATGGGACAGCAAGAACGCTTGCCTTTACTGCAGGTGGGCAGGAGTTGATTACATCGGGCAGTGATGGTGACATCTATCACTGGGATATGCGAACACGGCAATGCATAGACAAAGGCAAGGATGAGGGTTGTGTCCGGGCAACGGCGATTGCGTCGTCATTGGATGGTCGTTATATGGCCACGGGCGGCGACACAGGAGTGGTCAATGTGTATGATAGGCATAAATACCTGAGCGGCAAGCGAGACCCTCTTAAGGCCTTGATGAACTTAACGACATGGGTAAATTGTGTAAAGTTTAACCATGATGCGCAGATTTTGGCGATGAGTTCGAACAACAACAGGGACGCATTGCGACTTGTGCATGTCCCATCGCTTACGGTTTTCTCAAATTGGCCCACAACACGGACACCGTTGGCCTACATTCATTCACTGGATTTCAGCCCCGGGGGAGGCTTCTTGGCTGTGGGGAATTCACAAGGCAGGGCGCTCTTGTACAGGCTTCGGCATTATGATCGTGCATAGTTAAGGCTCCCATCTGCCTTTTGTAAATCTCTCCTGCATCTGCCTTTTTCTATCTCCACTGTGCTCCTTGGTAGCATAGTATCAGCCCACCACATGATTCTAAGAATTTTCCAATACCCATGTTGAGTTGAATGGAGTGCCGGCGTTTTCGTCCAAGCGGAATGATTTTTGAAGATATTGCAGGGAAAAAAGTGCTAACAGGGCAAGTTGTTTTGTTGCCATCACAACTGCACGAGATGATTAGTTTCTGAGGTCGTCTAACTCTTCAGCATCTTTATCGTTGTCGTCCATGCATTATGCACCCACCTAATCCTTTTTGTCTGTGCGAGGTTTTCGGTTCAGCTTTGTGTTTCACATGTTGCAAATGGTCCTCCTGTCCGTCTCCTCTCCTTCAGACCTCCCATCTCCTCCTCTTTTCTAGTGTGCTTCTATGAATCAGGTCTACCCTACCATGTTCTCCCGGAAATAATGACTAGGCTTTCTTTTCTCCACGATTTGATACTTCTGAATGAGATGACACTTTGCTTGCAATGCCTGTTGCATTTGAATAGAAAACAGGCAATCTCTCTCCCTCCCTTCCTCCCTTCCTCCCTCTCTCTCTCTCTCTCTCTCTCTCTCTCTCTCTCTCTCTCT